TTATGGTGTAACTGCTGCTCTAAGTGGGTCGCTCTGTCAGCTTAAGTCCCGTTTTAGAGTCTCTATACCCCATTTAATGATAAATCGATTACAAAATTAACTGAAGATCATTTCAATAATAAATTTATCATGATTAATTTTGATTTATTGTTTCAGCCCTAATCTTATTGAAATTCAGTAATGCATTGTGATATAAGTTTAGGGCCATATTGTCCTGGTCTAATTTACAAAAAATGGAAATTGAAAATGTTTCTTAACCACCCCAAATAATATTTAGTGCCATATACTGCCTTCCTATAAATGGTATAATGGTATGAACCAGTGGATGATTTTTAGCTCTGTGTGAATTAGGGCTGGGTGATTAATTGATTTTGATCAATCCGTTCATCAGTTCATCATTGTTGGTCCTTAGGTTTTTAGCTTAGGTTGTTTAAAGCTTCAATTTGGTGGCCCTTTAAATTCATGTCACCTCCCTGAGGGGATGATTGAAATAAAGGCTTATTTTTTAAATCAGTGTATATAATTTGGCATTTTTATTATAAAACTTAATTTGAATAAGAAATCCATAAATCAGATTTGGTAGGAAAAAACTTTTAGATTTGATTTTGGAGATTCATTATTGCATTATCCAGCTCTAGTAGGAATCCAGATGTTCTGTTTCTGACCTTAGAGGTCGGGTCAAGTACATTAGAGATTATAGCTGTTGTTTAAGAAAGGCATAGAAAGTGAGAATTTAGGTATAGTTGTTGGTTTTTATGCTTTCTTCTCTGAATCTTATCTGCAAAAGAAAAATAAAAAAAAAAACAAAAAAAAAAAATGTTGTAAAGCATATGTATCTGTTTCGTCTTGCTTTACAGTCATTGCGTGCTTAGCTGGTCTGTTTTATAAGAACCCTTTTGCATCTAGTGAAATTTTAGATCTGATTTATTAGACACTGTAGTTTCAGTAGTCTGCTGCAAAACATTGAACAGTTTTCATTTGATAAATGAAGTGTTAAATCAGAACAAAACCAGCTGCATCTTTCTCTGCAATATTAACAATGAAATGCAGCAAATCTTTACATTACTAAGGGTATAATTATTTTTTTTTAGTGTTTGTATGAACTGCCAATAAAAGATGCCCACCGGGTTTATTCCTCCTCGGTTTCTCAGCACCAGGACCCCTTAGTTCTCTGTGTGAGCGATGCTAGAGAGAGACTGGAGATGCTCACAGGCTCCTGAGTTACATAAACCAGGGAAGGAGACGTCTGGGGTCCCGTCAGGCCGAGCTGCTGCTTCTCCTCCATCTGACCTAGTTGTAGTAGCACACTGCCTTACATAGCAGCTCCCTGTAAGCAGTGTTTGCTCTCCTTTAGTCTCCGCTATAAGCTGCAATGTGTTTCCTTCTATGCAAACATGTTGCAATGTTCGTCTCATCACTCTTAAGGTATTACCTCTCTGTAAATCATCTTATTTTTCTGTCTCGGCGGAGACGGGGTGTCTGTTAGGAGACATCACCCTGATTCAAGAGGATTGTGAATTTTTAAAATTTGATTTCCTCCTCCAGTTAAAGGTCGCATCCATCCAACCAAGGATTCTTTATCTAAAGTTTGATCTCTGTTGAATGTACCCAGCAGTTTCTGATTTTCACTTAAAACATAAGAGACTCTCGAGACGTCTGGATTTCTTACATCTCCTGTTCTGTCTGTTGTCTTGAAATCGTTCTGCCTCTCGCTGCAGCTCATTCTGCTGTCTAGCTGTGCTGTAAAGGAAACTCTCTGGTCCTACCAGAATCACAAAGGGAGGCTTTGCTTTGTGTTTCCCCCAGGGCTGGGCTGTAAACTGATTTTTTTAATGTTACCATCATTCACTACGATAACCGGCTCACATTTTTCCATGTCGGTAAAAAATTCTGCCGTTTTTCCTGAGTGCAATGCTGGCTGGTCTTTCATTCCCCTTTAATACACTGCAGCAGGTGTGTAGTTATGACTCCAACGATCCATTCAGAAACGTAAACAAAGAGAATGGCGGATCAGCCCAGTGAAGAAGTATCTAACCCAGCTGTAAACGAAATTACATCAGTTAATCCTGTTGAGGCGAGCGAGAGCAGAGATGAAGCTGAGTGCGCAGAGAAGAAGCGCGCTGTCAGAGTTGAGCGCGCAGCAGACCTTTGTTTAGCGAGGGTGTGTAAGTTTAAACGATACACTTTGTTCTTCCTGAACGCTCAGTTCAGTGTCACCAAAATTACGCCATAGATGTCAGGCAAAAAAACACGAAATGCAAAGTTTACCTGTTGGGACCACCCAAAGCCAACGCGTCCAACCTCCACCACCTACAGCACAACCACGCCGTTGAGTTTAAAGATGTGCAAAAGGCTCCATTAATTTTGTAAAAAAAAGTTTTACAAGAGAGGTAAAAAAAAAAAAAATGTCCTGTTTAATGAGACATTGTTGAATGTCTAAACCTGAATGGGTGCAGTACAAGACTTTAATAGTTCATTGGCAGTAATATTTAATGTGATTTATTCAATAAATAAATAATAAATAGATCAGTTGTATTTCCTGCATATGCCTTTATTTCTGACAAATGAGCCAAAGTATTAATCGTGCATTTATCGTCATCATTGGTTTGAGCTGATATTGCTCAGCCCTGCTTTCATCAGAGCTTTGTGAGTGTAGCCCATCTGTTCATCCTCCCCTCATGTTGAACCTAAAGTAAGCTGTCAACCTCCTGTGCCTTCCTTATTTGTCTCCTCTTTCCTTCTTCCTTGTTTCCTTATTTCTTCTCCTTCTTCCATGTTTCCTTCCTTGTTAACCACACTATTAATTCTCTCTTTCTGGGTCTTTCCTTCAGTGTGTCCTACCACAACACTTTCATTGTTCCGTTTTCATTTTTGGTGCACCTCTTTCCATTTTCCTTGTGTCCCGTCTTGTTCTTCCTCCCTCCTTTTTTGTCCTTTCTTACCACCTTGTTTCATTCCCCCTTTCATCTTTCCTTACGTTCTTGTGTCTTAGCATCATTCATTCCTCCTGTCCTCTTGTTTTCTTCTTCCAAAATGCTCCCAACTAAGGAGACACAAGAAAATCAAACAAGCTAGTAAATGTAAATTACTGTGCTCATGCAATTAATTTGGTTAATTGTTTATGATGCCAGGCCTACTTTCCTTTCTTCCTTGTATGCTTCCTTCCTTCCACTTTTTGTAGGCGGCTGAAACCATAAACCAGCCTTTCAGCTGTGAACATTTGCCCTAAATTCATTACTTCATAATTAAAAGCTACAATGTATAATTTTCACTAACATCAAGTGGTGCACTAGATGAATTACAAATTACTGGTGCCTCCCAGTCAAGCGCATGAGACCAACTACGGAAGCCAAGGAGTGACATTCTACTTTGAATGAAAGAGACACATGAACCTCAGATAACTAAACGATGAAACACACGGAACAGTTCTCTGAAGCTTTCGTTTGTCAGCTGGTATAACTTTTGTTAAGAATAACAGCAGCGGATAACTTTGTATTGGGACTCGTCCATTGAAGGCTAACAACTAGCCGTCTCTACCAGGAGGACAGACTAGTCACAGATGGTTCTTCATTGCAACTAAAAGTAAAAGGTAGAGAGATCTACAGTCTTTTTAAACTCCTCCCCCGCCAACAACAAGTTTACAGATTCAGTTAATAAACCAGTAAAGCTGACGAGTTTAATCCCTTTAGCAACTGTGATCAAAAATGGTGGCGGAACTTGGCGTCTTCTGTTGGGTGCACCACCCCCTATTAGGGGTGGGTATTGCCAAAGAAGTCACCATTCGATTCGAATTGCGATTCACATGCCACAGTGCGATTCTATCACGATGCATCACGATACTTGAAATATTGTGATGCATGGCGATATTTTCACTGAACACTGTTATATAAAAATACAGCCATTACCAGTGGCTGGCTGGCTGTGTGTTTTATGAATAGGGTTTTCAATTGATACATGACTGAAAGCCACTGAATTCATACATTGCTGTATTTATTGAAACGACTTTTGGAGGTGCTGCCATTAAACCAAATACTGGACAGGTATATTTCTATTACTGGAATGGACACGCTGACAAAAAGTGGTTGTGATTTATTAAACTTAAAATAACAAAATAAGAATAATAGGTGCCGTTTACATGGCCTCAGTGGTCCTTTAAACCAATGAAATGAAAACATTCAAATGTATTACATTTACTCTCTTGCAAATTACGTGCATCATATCAATTTCATTTTCTTCTTTGTTTTCAAAGCCAATGAGCATCCAAACGTCTGACTTGAAATGTGATGCAGCCAATTTTCTCAGTTTCCCCCATGTTTTGTTTACGAATGACTCGTCGCAGTATCCCGCGGCCGGAAATGCTTGTGACACAAGGCGGCGGGCGTCAACACATCCGCGGAGACATCTACTGGACTGGAAGTTGTATTCCACTTGTTTTTGGCTGATGTGCATCAACCATTCATGTATTTTATTTATTTATTCCTTTTTTTTAAATTAAGAGTCGATACTTGGCGTCAAGAACCGATGCAGTAGATCACAAAAATTAGAATCGCGATGCATCGTCATGACAATTATTTTGAACACCCCTACCCCCTATATATTTTTATACTACTAATTCTAAGCTAAAAGAAGCCTTTCATTTTTGATGTGAAGTTATTGGACTTTTGTGGTAAAAATACCTTATTTTCTGCTAGAAAAAGGCCCAATTTCTTACACACTGTCCCTTTAAAGAGAAAGTGTAAAACGTCACAAAGAAGGCTTATCCAGACCTTCCATCCTGAGTAAGGATCCTATATTTAGCTGCATTTCAAAGGACTTTTCCTGAGCAGAGGCACTAAAAATAGCAAGTTTGACACAGGATAGGAATAGAGCTGTAGGCAGATGTTTTCTTTCTGCTCTCATTGTGTGGTGAAGATGTTGTTTCTACATGTTTTACTGAATATTTAAAGCCAGTCTCAAACATGTGGTTAATTATAAGTCTGTGAACCGTATTTCCTGACCCCTTCCTCCTCCATCAGGTGAACTCCTGGAGCGGCTCCATTGAAATTGGCGTGACGGCGCTGGACCCGGCCTCACTGGACTTCCCCAGCAGCGCCACCGGACTTAAGGGCGGCTCCTGGATCGTATCGGGCTGCTCGGTGCTGCGCGACGGCCGGTCCGTCCTGGAGGAGTACGGCCGTGACCTGGACCAGCTGGCCGAGGGCGACCGCGTGGGCATCCAGCGCAGCTCCCAAGGAGAGCTCCACCTGTGGGTGAACGGCCAGGACTGCGGCGCGGCCGCCAGCGGCCTGCCGCCAAAGCTGTGGGCCGTGGTGGATCTGTACGGGAAGTGCACTCAGGTGACGGTGGTCAGCTGCGAGCCACCGCCGCCTTCTGCAGAGAGGGAGAGGGAGACGATAGAGCGGGACGAGGAGGAGGAGGAGGAGGAGGAAGAGGAAGACGAGGTTGTTGTTCGAGGGGGTCGAGATGATGGGGGGATAGCAGCACTGATGAATGTGGCAGCAATAAATGGAATGGTGAATGGAGATGAAGGTGAGCCCGTTACTAAACATAATTTCACCGCAGCCATCATCTGGGATTATTTCCATTTCCTGTTTCCACCTTCTCCCTGCAGTGCCTGAGCTCAGCTGCAGCAACAGTCGACCAGACAAGTTCCCCAACAACCTGGAGCCTGATGCTGGTAAGTAGATCCTCCTCTGATCAGGAAGGGCTCTGTAGCTCCATGTGGTCTGATGATGGTTATCGTTTCAGTTCTCACAGAGCACCAACTCTTTGACGTGTTCAACAACGCAATAGTTTCATTTTATCGCTCCGGAGACGAGGGAGGAGGGGACGAAGGTTCAGATTGGGATGGAGGAGGAGAAGGAGGAGGAGGAGGAGATGCTGGAGGCGACTCCTCTTCCAGAAACGACAGAGGGAGCAGCAGTGGGGGAGGTGCAGCCAATAGTGACGGCGGTACAGGGACGACTGGAGGAGGAAGAGATCGGGGGGATTGTAACAACAGCCCAGCGGGTAACGAAGGAGCAGCGCCAGGCTCCGGAACGGGTGGGCTGATGACCAACGACGCGCTGCTGTTCCACGAGAAGTGCGGCACGCTGATCAAGCTCAGCAACAACAACAAGACGGCTGAGCGAAGGAGACCTCTGGACGAGTTCAACAACGGCGTGGTGATGACCAACCGGCCGCTCCGGCACAACGAGATGTTCGAGGTACTCGCCCTGCTCCCCTAATAAAGCCACTTCTTTTGCTCAGGCAGTCAGCCTTATCTGCGTCTGTGTTTTCAGATCCGCATCGATAAGCTGGTGGACAAGTGGTCGGGTTCCATTGAGATCGGCGTGACCACGCACAACCCCAACAACCTGGACTACCCTGCAACCATGACCAATCTGCGCTCAGGTGAGCTCCCTAGCTTCAGTAGATAACAAACATGAACGCTTCCTGAATTTTCCTGACTTTTTCTGCATGTGCATCAGGTACAATCATGATGAGTGGCTGTGGGATCCTAACGAACGGGAAAGGAACACGTAGGGAATACTGTGAATTCAGCCTGGATGAACTTCAGGTCAGCACCATTGACCATATATAATCATATAGTTCTCCTTACCTCTGAGGCTCTGAGCAGTTTTTACTCAGAACTGATCATCTTGATCCTGGCGTGCACTGTGGTCCAAAAAGTTGTTGTTTATCCTGAGAGGATCGATGCTGAATAGTTAAGAGATGCAACTAAACTGATGCTGAGAATATTTTGGAATGATTTTTGAAGCCAGTATTGCTTTTTTTTCGTTCGTTAAAACCTTACATATAAAAAATGTATGACAAATGTTACACACGTCTGAATTTAACAGAAATACATCATCAACAGTTATGACAAGTTATGGAGCTGAATTTGTAAAAAAAAAAAAAAAAAAAAAAAGTTTTTAACTGAATAAAATTTTTGCAACTGAAGAAATTATTAAACTACAAGAATGTGTTTAAAGCACAATGGCACATTTGTGTTTCTGTTTCATTTTGTTTCCAGTTTTGAAAATATAGACCACATTTAAATCTTTAATTTCTGATTAGAAAGAAACTTTTTTTGTCTAGTTTCCAAATTCTCTTTTAAGATTCAAATAGTTTCTTTTCAGTTTAAACAAAGAAATTTTTTAAATAAACTTCACGAACCCGATTTAGCTAAACGCAGGGTAGCTACAATGCATGCTCATGATCTTAAGACATGGCTGCTCAATGTGCCGAATTGTTCTGTAGTAGAAAAAAAGGCTCATCTTCTTTCAGGTGTAAAGAGGGGAGAGGTATTTGTTGCAAATGGACCGATACTTTTGTCCGATAATTTGAATTCGCTGTTATGTTCATACATTCACTGATCACATTAGTGCATCAGCAGCAATTCCTTGAGATCACGTGGCATCCATGTATTTCCTAAATTTTCTTTCCATTATTAATTTTCTCATTTAGTAATAAATGTTTTCTTTATTGTTTGAATTGAGACTTCTCTCCCATTTGTTATCATTTTGTGTTGTTGCTGTTCTTTTAAAACAAGGAAGGAAACAAGGAATTTCTTCTTTTTAAGGAAGAAATTAATCAGGTGATAATGTTACAGCAGATGTGAGCCAAAGTAGGTTCTCATTGTGAAATCAAAACCCCACTGTGGACTTAGGACCCCTGTCTCACATTATTTCACTCTATAATTTAGGAGAAGTCGTCTGTAATTCTAATTTCTTCTCTCTTGGAAAACCAGAGAGCTTTTTCCAACCCAGATAATCTGATTTAGCTCTGGTTTCTCTGATGAAGTAGTGCCCTCTCCTGGTCTAAAAACTGAAACTTGTCTCCTTTTTGTCATCGTAGGAGGGCGATCACATCGGGTTGATGCGGAAAGCCAGCGGCGCTCTCCATTTCTACATCAACGGTATCGATCAAGGCAAGTCTCACCATCATCCAGCTTTTAGGAGGTGAGACTGTGAGTTAACGGCTTTGTGTTGCTGTTCTCCAGGCGTGGCAGCAGCCCAGACGCCCAACGTGGTTTACGGTGTTGTGGACCTATATGGCATGGCTGTCAAAGTCACTATAGTCCACAACCACAACCACAGCGACCGCCTCAGGCGCAATAACGCCATCATGAGGGCGCTTTCGCCTGATGTGGGTCGGCCCAGGCCGTCTCTGGCCCTCACTCCGGACTCAGAAGCACCTGACCGCCTTTTGTTTCACCCAAACTGTGGCCAGAAGGCAGCCATCATTTGCGACGGCAGAACGGCGCTGCGACCGCAGTTAGTGCGCCTACTGATTATCCATGCCAATGTCATCTTTGACCCCTGGTGAAGGCTTTCATTTGTTTTCTCTTTTAAAGTGCAACTGATGACTTCAACCACGGTGTGGTCCTGAGCAGCCGCCCTCTGCGATCCAACGAGGTGTTCCAGGTCCGCATTGACAAGATGGTAGACAAGTGGGCTGGTTCTATTGAAATTGGCGTCACGACGCACAACCCGGCCTACCTGCAGCTCCCTTCCACCATGACCAACCTACGGTCAGGTAAGAGAGAATCTTTAACTTGATTCGTCTTGTTTATTTGAAAGGTTAAACTTCCCAAAATGCAGAAATCTTTCAGATATTTTGTACCAACCTCAGATGTTCTACAGGATTCATATCTGTGTTTATCTTAACACACCTTGCGCATCAGCCTACGGAGCCAATGTCCGACAAAATCTAATCTCCTTCAAGTCCAATGTTTTAGCCACAGTGCTTAAAGAATAAGCTCTGTGGTTTATCAGCGTAGATGAGTGTTTGTGTCAAAGAAACATAGTAAATTAGCCTTTATACACCAGTAACCTATAGATAAATTAGAAAGGACACAACCAAGGTGCATCTACATCAGCTTTTAAGGTTTAAAATACCAAATTAGGTCATTTATAAGTATATTCTTCTGGGCTTTGATCATTTTAAAGCACTTTTAGGAAAAATAATTACAAGTACGCAGGTTGACTTTGACTTTGACTTAAAGCATTATAGTAGAAGTAAGAACTTTTTCATGCCAATGTTACAGTAAAGTTTCGCAACAATGGACTCTGGACAAACAGGCTTTCAAGGTCATAAAAACACTGAAACCCCTGAGGTGTCCTCTGAGCCTAAACTTGACTGTCCACATTGTGGATCGCAGCTGCTAATAATATAGAGAACAACAGTTGTGCAACTCAAATGATGTAGCTGTTGTCATCAAGATTTTAGGAATTTTTTCCCATCTTGAAAATTGATTTTTAAATCTGAAATCTTGGGAACGATTTTTGGCCCTGGCATTTTTCCACCTACACCGGCCCATCTACCCCCCGTCCGAAAAAAAAATATATATAATAGAGATGTCCCGATCCAGGTTTTTGGACTTCCGATCCGATACAGATACTGGCTGATACCAGCCTATCCCAGCATGTATTTAAGTTTAAGTTAAAGTATTTAGCCTTAGTTGTAAGACTCATGTTGAAAAGGGTTTTAGTACTCTTGATAACATCTAGCCAGCT